CAATATCACGGCGGGGGACACCAGAAATGGGCTTCACACATTGTGCCCATGTGGGGATTCGAACCCGGGTCTTCAGCGTGACGAGCCAACGCTTTAACCATTAGGCTACCCCACCGCCCTGTTTGTCGTAAGAGGCGACTAATGGGTTCGGGTGGTCAGGCTCGCTGACTTGGTTGACATGTCATCGGTTCCCAATTGTGCAGATCGATGTTCATGCTGTTGATCACTGGATAGTCTGGTCCAGACTCGATTATTTACATACCGCCGCTATATAGCTGGAATATTGCTGAGTGTGGCGTAAAACTAAACTCACTCACTATGGAAACATTTATAACATTTTGGCCAAATTCAATTTTCAGTGGTGTGTACTTTCTTTTGACAGCCAGTTTGGACACATCAAAATGTTAAACTCGTGTCTTAGTTATTTGTCTCATATTATTGATCAACACGAGCAACAACGTTGATACATTTCACCAAGTCACCATAGACATTAGTTGAAATTTGCATATTTCCCTGTTTTATTCACAAAGGTGTTTGTCCAATAGCTTTGGTTGGTTTGTTGTTTAACGCCGCACTAAACAATATTCCAGCTATATGGCGGCGGTCTGTAAATAATCGAGTCTGGACCAGACAATCCAGTGATCTACAGCATGAGCATCGCTCTGTAGATACGCAGTTTGGATGCGATGACATGTGTCAACCAAGCCAGCGAGCCTGACCACCCGGTTGTCGCCATTTACAACAAGCATTGGTTGTTGAAGGCCAATTCTATCCCGGACCTTGTCCGATAGCACTGATACTATAGAGGGAAACAGTCCAGCAGGCATGCAGGGTCACCGATGATAACCTTATATGTAATGCCTGTTACACTATTTTAACCTAGACCAGCACTTGCATGAGTTATGCATGCTTATACTTGCTTATACTCGCTTGTGTTTGTTTATACTTGCTGATTTGACGAGTACTCAGTTTGTTGCGGGATATAACACATGTTTAGACGTTTGAAAATTTGTTTTATCTCACGAGTAAGGGTATGTTGCTTGCAAACCTCCACATTACTTAGGCTGGCTTCAGGATTCGAAGCAACGAAGATTGGTTCTCTTGCGCCTAACTGCACAACTGCTGCGCCTCGGACCACTGGGCCAACAGTTCATGAGCATTTAACATGGGAGCAATAAACTTAGGCAATGTAACGAATAATACTGAGCCTAAGTCAGCTTAGACTGACATGGGAGGAACATGTTTGTAAGTTTGGACGCTGGTACAATGAATAACATACAGACGAGATTCATTCATTCTCCATTTTACTGAGTGAGTGAGTGAGTTTAGTTTTACGCCACACTCAGCAATGTCCCAGCTATATGGCGACGGTCTGTAAATAATTGAGTCTGGACCAGACAATCCAGTGATCAACAGCATGAACATCGATCTGCGCAATTGGGAACCGATGACATGTGTCAACCAAGTCAGCGAGCCTGACCACCCGTCCAGTTAGTCGCCTCTTACGACAAGCATGGGTTACTGAAGATCAATATTCTAACCCGGACCTTGACGGGTTCCATTTTACTGAAATGCTGCAAGCTGAAAAGTAACCACTTCCTCACGTGCTGACCTAGACGAGTCCCCAAATGAACATATTTTACAGAAAAAAAGTTCTTAAATTATTTTAACAAAATACATTAAAAAGGAGCCCAGATACTTTCTTCATTGGGGTGGTAGGGTAGCCTAGTGGTTAAAACGTTCGCTCGTCACGTCGATGGCCTGGGTTCGATTCCCCACATGGGTACAATGTGTGAAGCCACTTCTGGTGTTCCCCGCCGGAATATTGGTGGAATATTGCTAAAAGCGGCGTAAAACCCAACTCACTTTCTTCATTAAACTGTGGTGATCTTGACGTGCCACACATTCTAGACTGGCAGCGGCTGCATTTGGTATATTCAGGGTCCGTACGACAGATTAATGTTGACCAAAATACGCCAGGCCATATCTAATCTCACCAATCCAAGATCGACACATGTTTTTTTATCAACGAAGTTAAAAATACTAGTAGATAGAGAGACGACCACAGTACGAAGGTAGTACGGACTGGCTTAAGGATGGGTTAACTAAAGGTTTCCTTGAGTTTATTTATTTAATCAGCATGGTTTTCATAATTATTTACATATGTGAGTGAGTTAGTGTGTTATTTCACGCCGATTAATGCAATATTCCATCAATATCACGACGGGGAACACCAGAAATGGGATTCACATTGTACTCAATTAAGTGGGGAATCGAACCCGAAGTTTTGGCGTGATGAGCGAACGCTCTAAACACTAGGTTACCCCACAGCCCTTTACTGATGTGTATATGTACGACAAATAAAATGTTATGGTCAAAATGGTATGTTCCTTTGGTGTCTGTTAGCGTATAGTAGCACACCACGGAAGACTACTCCTTCACATGATGCCACGGATGCATATGTTGGTTGTTACATCCCAATCTTGGGTCTACTATTTTCTACTGCTACTCAAATGTTCTCCTTCCATCGGGATCTGGTAACGTGTTGAGACTACTGCCAATAACGCCCTCTTTTAACTTGATCAGAACACTTGGTAAACCATTGTACCTGCACTAATAACGGACTTCTGCCTTGATCAGCAAACTTAATGAACCATTTTACCCGATCCAATAACGCACTCCTACCGTAGTCATGAAACTTGATGAACCATTCTATACCCGAACCAATAACGCCCTGACGCCTTAATCAGGAAAATTAATGAACCATTCTACCTGAACCAATAACGCCCTGCTGCCTTGATCAGGAAACTTGATGAACCATTCTACCTGAACCAATAACGCCCTGCTGCCTTGATCAGGAAACTTCATGAGCCCTTCTACCTGATGAGCCATTCTACCCGAACTAATAACGCACTCCTGCCGTGATCAGGAAATTTGATTAACCATTCTACCCGAACCAATAACGCCCTGCTGCCTTGATCAGGAAACTTGATGAGCCATTCTACCCGATGAGCCATTCTACCCGAACTAATAACGCCCTGCTGCCTTGATCAGGAAACTTGGTGAACCATTCTACCCGAACCACAAAGCACTCCTAGCTGCCTTGGTTAGCAAACTTGAAGAACCATTCTACCCGAACCAATAACGCACTCCTGCCTTGATCTGTTAACTTGATGAGCCATTCTACCCCATGAGCCATACTACCCGAACCACAAAGCACTCCTAGCTGCCTTGGTTAGCAAACTTGAACAACCATTCTACCCGAACCAATAACGCACTCCTGCCTTGATCTGTTAACTTGATGAGCCATTCTACCCGATGAGCCATACTACCCGAACCACAAAGCACTCCTGCCTTGATTAGCAAACTTGATCACTAACGCACTGCTTCCTTGACCAAAATAATGATTAACCGTTTTCCTCGGACTAATAACGTGGACTAAGGCAGTTCTCCCTTGAACTACATGGTTAGATTGGAAAATGTATTTATTTAAGATTTTGCGGAGTTTGAGATTATTGGGCTTGTTCGCATCCTTAACAACGTTTTCTGATGTTTGGAATTATAATATAAACACGTACAACGTATGCAAAAACAAAACAAGTATACTGAGCAAATCTGTTTCCAATGGTAGAGCCATCTTTTCTGTTATCAGGGAGAATAGAAGACTGCTTTTATCTACACTTAACCCCACCTCGGGTCATTGACTAAATATTACACGTTTCTTTACACGTGTACCTTTTTTCTACATCAGTTTTGTCTACGGACACAACAACGCAAATGTCAAGAAGCATGTGTACATTTCTTTTATCCTTAATAGTATATTTAAAAGGTGACATTTTTTCTCTCACGTACATTTGCTGTTCACCGAGTAAACAGCACAGCCAATGCGTTGATATAGCAAATTCAAAATCTTAGGTTAAATTAAGCTGTCCCTATTAAAGCAAATTATGATAACTGTACATGTCTCACAACTCCTTTATCCATCATATTTTACAGTAGCCTATTTCTTTGCTATTTTTAATCGTAAGTATTACTCTCATATGTAAATTGTATGTAAACTGTACATTTTGCGACCAACGGGAAATTTTCCCCTGACTTTGATTGCTTGCAAGGTAGAAGGTGAATGAACAATATGAGAAAAAAACACCCAACAAATAGTAATTTTATAAAAATTTCATCATTATATTTTAATTGTGTGACGAAAGGAAACCGCTTGTGTCAAACTAACGTGTCATCGTGAAGAGCACCGACAAAAATCAATTCTAAGGTTAACTGTAGGCTTGAGACAATGACAGGTGCGCTGAACGCTAGGGTTGCCGTTACGTGTTTAGCTCGCCCACAATACCGAGTGCGGTTTACGGTACGCTCAGGCGGTCGGTCCGGCCTACAAATAACTGACCCAGTTTTTCCACAGACATACACACTATGCAACAGTCTCGTCGCCGGGAAACAGCCGTTACGGTCCGTTACGCATCAATTACGTAACATGACATTGCACAGGCGACCTCGCGCGACCGCAGCAAGCGTAACACACGCCCCTCAGAGAATGACCCGAAGTGAACTTTAAAGATCTGCTGTTTCCCTCGAGCTTGAATTTCAGATGAACGTTCGTCGTTGTAGATAACAAACGCATTGTACCTATAGCCTGTTTATATTGACATTCGACAGGAGGTTTTCTCAAAATGCGTAAAACTGTCAAAATGACTTTGAAAGACAAAACTTGCTGTTATTTACTAGATCAGGATAATGGTTGACAAATAATTCTAGAAACTGTAACAGAAAAATTTCCGTAATGAGTTTACATTACTTTAACAATACTATAGTCCACTTCCTCGTCTCTTAAGGCAGTGATGTAACACGTGATTCAAGATAGGGCCGTGATAGTGTCTACCCTACATTTCCCGTGTCCTCGGGTTCATAACCTGGAAAAGTACTTGTAACGACACGATAAACTCCAAACGTGATTTCGTCACCACCAGTTATCAACACTGGCAGATTTCTTGTCTATTTTGAATCTGGTGAAGGATTAATTATTAATAGAAAGTTATCCAATAGTGCAGCTTTAAATCAAGCTCTTCTCCAATCGAAACTGGTCGGTATCGCAACGTCTGTTCGCTTCGCTGCATGACATCGGTAGTGCGATGCGGACAGATTGTTTTGATCTGTTTTAGCCTTGATTGACCCCCCCTGGAACTGTCAGTGCCTTGGTCGATGGCGAGGGACCCCACGGAATCGTGTGGCACCCCCGGGAGTAGAGTTGGTGCCCACTGATGTCCTCTAAGACCGAGAAAGGGGACGGGTAAGATCGCGACTCGCCTTCATCTTGCCATATCACTGCGTCGCTTTTGACAGTAGTTTCGGGAGGACACGCATGACAAGCCCCTTAGACTTCGTGTCACCCTGATAACAGTAAAATTTATGGTATATTGCAGGCACAGGGACACAGACATTGATCAGGGGGAGGGCATGTCCGTGGTCCATGATCGCGTCCATACACGGTAAGTTTGTTTACACTAACCCACTCACACTAAAGCGCGCCATTTTTGGGATTCCGGTAAACGCATGCTCCTTCCTTCCCACGTGGGACGTGAAGCACGCGAGGTGTACGCGACACCAGTGCTTAATTACCGGCTCCCTACTCGTTATGTAACCGAACGATACAAAGTGGTACAAAGTGGAACGAAACACGCCATTACCCCCACCATGTGCAGTCTGACATACTGAACTAACGCAATGTTAAACTTGGGGTGACCTATAAAGAAATAGCTGTAGTTGTGACGTAATAATCAACAATAAACAAAAATCACTCATTTAGATTTGCAGTTGGTTGATAGTCAGCCTTGATTCAGCATTCTATGAAGATACATTGTTGAAACAAGAAATTTACGTTGATCTAACAACAATGTATACATATTGTATTACATGAGGATACACTTACAGTCACCAGGAGGGGTGTTCTGACCTTTATGAAGGTAATTATGAAATATAAAGGGATGTGATATTGTTTTTATCTCCCACATACAATGCTAATGACTATTGTAAACATCCAGTATTTATTTATTAGTAAATGCATACATGTGCTGTATTGAATATGAAATTAAATTTTTGTTCATGGAGATGATCAGGTACATTTCTTGTAGCCATGGAGGATATGATATTATTTTTAAAAAAGAATTGAAACCTTTGAATGTAATTAATGTGTGACATTTAAGTTTATCTGAAATTTAAAAAAACCCAACCTAGCTAAATACCATTTAGTTTGAAATTCAATTGCTACATGAATTAGCATTATTACATTAAACTTATCACAGATATAACATGGCATGTTCATAATGACATGAGTAATGCTTCTTCTAGTACATCTTTATCTCTGGTGATACATTTCATCTGATATCTGCACAATCATGATGAAATGACATTATGATAATGGATCCGGATTACTCCTTTGTTGTGTTGATATGGAGAATTATGTCATAAGGGCTAGTGATATTTTAATGAAGGAAATATAAGTTCATAAGGGGTAGTTTGGGTATTCTATCGATTAGGTGCTTGCTCCTCACGCGGAAGACCTGGGTTTGATTCACCACATGGATACTATGCGCATGCACAGTCCATTTCTGGTGTACCCTGCTGTGACATTGCTTGATAATGGATGAAAGCGGTGTAATGCCATATTCAAACACTCACTCATTCAGTACATAATATCTCTAAAGTGTGTTTCAACCAATGACCAATTTTTGCAACCCTAAAATCATTAATGTTTTGAATACACATGGGGAATCTAGGGGGCCTTTAAAATTTTACTTTTTATCTTTGAATTTTGCTGGGAACCCTGTTATGTCCATGTTTGGAGCATTGTTATGTATTTTAATATATTTACAAATCGTTCATTGTCTCCACATATATCACAGATTTTAAGTAAGACAGATACACTCTATTATTAAGTATTGCCCATGAAATAACTGGGTTTGAAATCCGGTATCCTATATACATATAACTTGAAAATGGTCAATATAGAGTACATTGACTTGGTGACCAAACTTTCATGTGTACATATGTAACTGAATGCTGTAATTTGAAAAATTGGTCACACTTAGAATCAATTTCTGTACATAGTCTTTTATATGAAAACAGTATACATTGGAATGCTTTACAGTTTTCTAATGGAAATGCTCTTACTATGTTTGTCTTCGTACGGGAACTCCATATTATAACAGCCTCTAGCCATGTATTCATTAGTTTTTTAACATTTCATCTGGGACCCTTATTTTGTATCTGAGAGTGAGTGAGTGTAGTTTTACGCCACTTTTAGTGAACCAGAAATAAGCATCACACATTGTACCCATGTGGAGAATCGAACCCATGTCTTCGGTGTGATGAGCAAACGCTTTAACCACTTGGCTTCCCCACCACCCCTTTGTATCTGAGAAGTTCCCTGACACCTGAAGTAAATGACCCAGGTATATCCCTGCTAACCTGTCTCCAACAGTCACTTACATGTGACAGCGTTGCATGTGTAACATTTGGTGTCGACAGATTGTGAAGTGATGTGTTTTTGCCCAATGAACAGTTACCATCTGTACATCTTCATACTGAAGACATTGTCAACGTGTGGGGCTGGAGGTTTGTGGGGGTTACGGTGACATGGCTTCTGGTCCACTCTAACTTGGGCCATCGTTCACTGAGGTAAAACCCCATGGGTGCATATTTCTGTGGGTGTAACAATCCAGTGTGTGTGTGGCACAAGACATACAATACATAGTGTGACGGAAGAGTTGCCGTTCAGTGTTAAGTGTGATGCTTGGGTCATTGTTCATCACATAGTGTTGTATTCGGATACTGTTTGGCCACAAAGTATGATATAAAGTAAGATATGATATGAGGTCACTATATACTATGTAGTGTTATATAAGGTTACTGTTTACAACGTAGTGTGATATCAGGTCACTATTTACTATATTGTGTGATGACCGCCTCCATGGTGTAGTGGTTGCAGCGTCCGCCTGGAGAGCGAAAGGTTACACTCGATACCCGGCCACGTCATGCCAAAAGACATTAAAATATGGTACTTGTTGGTCCCTGCCTGGCACTCGGCATTAATGGTACAACAAGGACTGGTCGGCTCGTAGTCAGTATAATGTGAGTGGGGTATTCATGCTTAACTGCGGCATGGTATCTCAGTGAGCTAGCACTATAAAACCAGCTGAAGTCTGGGCTAGTACAAGTAGCCACATACACACATACACATGCATGTATGTCGTCATGTGAGTGAAATATTCTTAAACACGACGTTAAACCCCATTTCACCTCACCCCATATAGTGTGATATAAGTACTGTTTACAACATACCGATATGAGGTCGCTATTTACTTTATATATTGTGATATAAGGTGATTGTTTACAACAAAGTGTTTACTATATAGTGTGATATAAGGTTGATGTTTACAACATAGTGTGATATAAGGTTGATGTTTATAACATAGTGTGTTTACTATATAGTGTGATATAAGGTTGATGTTTACAACATAGTGTGTTTACTATATAGTGTGATATAAGGTTGATGTTTACAACATAGTGTGTTTACTATATAGTGTGATATAAGGTTGACGTTTACAACATAGTGTGTTTACTACATTTGATATAAGGTTGACGTTTATAACATAGTGTGTTTACTATATAGTGTGATATAAGGTTGATGTTTACAACATAGTGTGTTTACTATATAGTGTGATATAAGGTTGATGTTTACAACATAGTGTGTTTACTATATAGTGTGATATAAGGTTGATGTTTACAACATAGTGTGTTTACTATATAGTGTGATATAAGGTTGATGTTTACAACATAGTGTGATATGAGGTCACTATTTACTTTATAGTGTGATATGAGGTCATTGTCTCCAATGTAGGGGCGGTGGGGTAGCCTAGTGGTTGAAGCGTTATTGTTTACATGACCAGGTTGATTCCCCACATGGGCATACTGTGTTTAGCCCATTTCTGGTGTCCCCTGCCGTGATATTGCTGGAATATTGCTAAAAGCGGCGTAAAACTAAACTCAGTCAGTCAGACAGTCAGTCAGTCAGTCTCCAATGTAGTGTGATATAAGGGTCACTGTTTGCTACATCATGTGACATATGGTCACTGCTACATTGTGTGACTTCAGGTCACTGTTTGCTAGTTGTATGTAGAGTCATTGTTTGCTACATTGTATAACTATGGTCTCTGTTTGCTACTTGATGTATGTAAGGGTCACTGTTTATTTCATAGTTTGACACCATTTGATTCATAGCGTTCAAATTTGTTTGTAACATTAAGGATGTTTTGTCCTGCGTTTGAGAAGATCCATGTTTGCCAAATATTGTACAAAAGTGTTTCCGTTGACAACATATTGTGATATACGGGTCACCATTAAGCAGGTTTGTGTTGTACATCCCTGTATTGTAACAGGTGTGCTGAAGAGGTATCTTGTTTGTATAAAGAGATACAGGTCATGACTCTCTGAAGTGTATTGGTTGGCTACAGCTCTGGAAAAACTTTATTCCGATCTAATGGAAATCAAATATGATTTGACAATCGAAGGCTTTAAAGTAAATGTATATCGTTTTTAATTTGATGTGAAATATGTCTAATAAACAAAACGATCACATTTATGATACTGGAATACCTTTAGCAACTTATGACAACAGTTAAACTTTTCAGTACATTTTGTCTCCTTACCTTGAAAAGTGAAGAAGTTTGGTTTAAAGTAGTGTTCAACAGTATTTCAGTCAAAGCATGATCAGATAAGTGTCTCATATACACAAATATATTTTTCTTAGTTACCTTTTCCAACTCATTATGAAGATAATGCAGATAAAGTCGTGGTCACGACATAAATAGTGTTTTGGTTCATAATATAGAGGTACAGATACGACCAACAATGCTAGATAATGTTTCTAGTGCAGATACTTTCCAGCATGGGTCAGACATGTGACACGTTGTAGGTGTGTCCATGTGGAGTTCACTTACAAAGATAGATACATAATATCTTTGCTTTTTCGGGACAAAATGGGGTTACTGGGTGTGTTTGTACAGGTTTAATAGTGAGTGAACTTTTATTAACTGTGAACTGTATACCACTCTTATAATAGCATGTCAGCATACTGTGTGTGGAAGGGATGAAGTGATGCGTGTCTCTGATGCTTACCACATTACCATTGTGTAATGAGAGTGTGTGTGAGTGAGTGAGTGAGTTTGGTTTTACACCACTTTTAGCAATATTCCAGCAATATCATGGCAGGGGACACCAGAATTTGGCTTCTCACATTATACCATTGTGGGGTATCGAACCTGGGTCTTCTTCGTGACGAGCGAACGCTTTAACCACTAGGCTACGTCACTGACCCATGTAATGAGACGGTGGCTGTCAGTGAGTTAAGTGTTGCTGATATACATGTTGTGGTTTTATTTATGTGGTTTGTACTTTCTTGTCGTAACAGTATCTTTTGTTGTAAAATTATCCAAATCAAAATACATATAAAGTACAGGTTTCGCCACCCTTCTTAATGTGATATCTATATATATCAATTTCTACTCAGCATCAATACTTATTTATCTCACTCACTCACTCAAAGTTTCGTATCAGTGTGAAAGACGGGTGGTTGGGTAGCCTAGTGGTTAAAGCGTTTGCTCGTCATGCTGAAGACCCGGGTTCGATGTCCTATATGGGTACAATTCGATTCCCTACATGTTTGAAGCCCATTTCTGGTTTCCACAGCCATGATATTGGCGTTAAAACTAAACTCACTCAGTGAGAAACCATTTCCAAAAGTAATAATAAATAAATAAATGAACCTAGTCATTTGTATAGCGCCCTTTCCAAGAAAGATTGCTCAAGAGCGCTGATTATACTGGTAGGCTTTTGCAAAGAGATACGTTTTGAGTTTTTGCTGGAAGGAACTGAATGTGGTACCAGGGCTCCAGATAAGGGCTGTATCGGCGTATGTATGGATACAAAATATGCACGATACGGTAGCAAATAATTTAGAAAACGTATCATTTACAGACGTATTTATCTGAAGAAAAATATTGGTTTATTGTTTATTGACCTGTTTACACAAGAGTAGCAATGTTGTGGTGCATATATGAAATGAAACACACAATTACTGATACGCCATTAAATTCCACTCAGTACTCTAAATGTACTCTTAAGGTTTTCCAGTACTCCTGTAGTGAAAAAATATGGAGTACGTACTCCTGATGTTGCAAATTATCTGGAGCCCTGTGTACAGTTCCTAATGTCCAGAGGGAGAGAGTTCCACAGAATTTTCCTGTCATTTCTTTGCTTCCCAAGTTATCATGCATGACCTCTTCAAACAGTCCATTCTCCAAGCGCCATTTGGCAACCTGGTGAACAGATTCAGACCAATCTATCGGTGTCATGGTGTTCTGGAGCAGACACATTGCCACCAAGATAAGGTTCTGGGCAAGTATGTTTTGTAACTAAAAGCTGTGTAGGTTTTCAGGATGGACACTACTGCATTATGTTGCATTATTATGTAAAGTTTCTATGCAGATGCCTGTTCAACTTGCCTGAAGGGATGATACGAATTAAAGCCACAAAACTCTTTTCATAGTCATAAGAATTCTCGGCTAACAGCAGAGTCCATTGTATGATTCTGACAACATCATAAGCATAATCATTTTTAGAAGTCAGGAAGTCTTCACTGTTTTGACACATTTTTTGAATAAACGACACATGAATGAATGAATAGAGTAATAACAAATATTACTTATTTCTATGCACGCTCATGTCGCAGCCATAAAATTTCCGAGTCCCGTGCAGGGTTTCGAACCACGGACCTTCTGATCCAAAGTCGGACCCCTTGTCCACATGACCAAAGAGGTTAACCCCGTCAGCAAGCTGACAAGGTAAGGATGTCATCCGTTGGATGACTCCATACTCTGCTACGCTCAAGCATGCACACATGATTCATCTGTGATGCAAGTTCACGACAGGACAGCCCATTGAAGGCAGAGATATCACATGTGCTATTGAACTGTCAGCCAAACACTGTTATTGTGCATGTGTATTGTGAGCAGGTGTATGCTCTACATTAAATCTTTGTGTTTTAACTATTGAACTGACACCTCATCTGTGTTCAGTGTCAGTGACTGTCTGTGTTGAAGGATAGGCCATAACAGCATCTACTATGCAAGGGTGTATCAGGTATGCAGTCAAAATCACTCTTACGCTTCAATGAACTCTTAAATCGTTTTTACACCAAAATTCATAAGCGTGAAACAAATATATATTTATATCTTCTATTAAATAATCATTTATTGGCATATGTAGATTTTGACATAGTGATATGTTTTTCATTCATTCAGTAGTGGGTGTATTAATTGCCAGAAAAGCTGAAACATTGTTGCATTCCAGTGGTTGTGTTTGCATTTGCAGAAAAAACTGGGGAAATTACATCAGTATTAACAGAAGTTATATCTGAATGCCTGTTGTTAATGTGTAAATAAGAAAACAGAGAATAACAGAGTTGTACCTTGACTCATAAACATGGGGATCCAGGGGACCCCTAATTATTAGTTTTAAGGGTTCTTGCAGGTAATAGAAGGGATCTTGTGAAGTAATGGTGTAGAGAACTGTATGTTTTAATTATTTCTTTAGAGTCTGGAATGAATCATTAATCATGTGGACTGATGGATGAAATGATGCACGTAACTGCTTGAAACAACCAAACACTTATCAAAGTTATAGATGTGTTGTGGATACAATGAACAATACTGTGCGTCCCTCTGGACTGAATTGTGTTTCTGCATCCATTCTCTACATGTGTGTATACTGGATGCACATTTGCACGTTGTGTAAGCCTTGGGATAATATGTTCTGGTTAACTGTAATTAGGACTAATTATTTGGTTTGTAGTGTGGGGAAGGGAGATTTTATCAAATAATAATTAATTGTACGGGAAAATGCATGATAAAATATTGCGGTGAAAAAGAAATAGTCTGCCACAAAACTTAGGTTGTTGCAGGGTATTTTTAAAAAGAAATGTTTATTGTGATAGTTGAAATAAGATACCATGAGAATCAGTCTTCGCAAGAGGGATATGATGACAATGATCAACCGAGTTACCGAGTCCGACTCATTAGTTGCCTCTTATACACCTTAGTTCATGTTTGGAAGTAAACATGTTTCTTCAAAATATTCTTTATCCATGTCCCACTTTCCGTCAGAGTTAACACACAGACTAGGAGCAAAGAGGCCAAACAGTTAATGAAAATAAGAATTGACTGGGAAATATTATCTTATTGGAAAAATGTAGCTTCATCTGACAGAGGTTGCTTAAGTTTGACAGTAGTTTGAGTATGAATAGACACAATCGTTTCTTGTCAATAATGATTGAAAATCCCGGGGTAGAATGCATTATATTGATGCAAATTTGCTGTTGAATGTTGATATTGTACCCATAATTTAATGTGACATCATTGATTTTTATATGAGGTCCTGTTTTCTTGTGAGGGACTTGTCTCTAGAATGTACTTGAAAAACTCCAGAGGAGTGTGAAGTAGGGGAGTCTGAGCTTGGCTTCACTGTAACAGTTATTTGGCACCATGGTGTGAGTTGTAGTTTACTGTGGACTGCTTTCTGGGAGAGGAACACTCAAAGTACCAAGGCAGAACTGTTCTTGATATCGAATTACAGGAGGGACAATCCATCGAATGATTTAAGTGATATCCCTAGTGGTACGCTTTCACACCAGTGCAACCAGTCAAGGGAGATAAGTTTTCTTTGTACATGGGTGGCTTTGTAAATGCGTTTAATTATTTCAAGGTGAGTATTTGGTGAGATCAGGTTTGGTTGACATGTGTGTTCTTCATGTATGTCCAAAGTATTTGTTCTTCTGTATCCATCACTGACAGCGATGTGTGTTCTATGTTTATTGGGCAGTGGGGTAGCCTAGTGGTTAAAGCATTTGCTCTTCATGTCAAAGACCTTGGTTCGATTCCCCACATGGGTACAGTGTGTGAAGCCCATTTCTGATGTCCCCTGCTGTGATATTGCTGGAATATTGTTAAAAGCGGCGTAACACTAATTTCTTTCACTCACTCTGTGTTTGTGTTGAATTATCTTGTGCCAGTTTAGTATTATGGTGTTTACCTTTGCTGGACTTCTCGCTGCTCAGGTCCATATTCATATGATGATTGGTGTTTTTCAGTGGAACTTATGTTATATTTCTCTCATTATGTCATTATGTAATCTTATTTTTCAGTGGTCACCAGTCGAATGCTCAGTCTCAATTGTTTGCCACTGCTGGTTGTTCACCTACGTCCTACAAGGATGCCTGGATCTTTGACATGGCCAACCCAGCCAAGCACAGGTGGGTCAACACTTTCATTGTGTACATATACCAACAGTGTCAAACACGGAGGGTCCACACTTTAATTGTGTACATATACCAACAGTGTCAAACACAGAGGGTCCACACTTTCATTGTGTACATATACCAACAGTGTCAAACACAGAGGGTCCACACTTTCATTGTGTACATATACCAACAGTGTCAAACACAGAGGGTCCACACTTTCATTGTGTACATATACCAACAGTGTCAAGCATATGTAGGTCCACACTTTCATTGTGTACATATACCAACAGTGTCAAACACAGAGGGTCCACACTTTCATTGTGTACATATACCAACAGTGTCAAACACATATACCAACAGTGTCAAACACAGAGGGTCCACACTTTCATTGTGTACATATACCAACAGTGTCAAACACATAGGGTCCACACTTTCATTGGTCATATACCACAAACACAGAGGGTCCACACTTTCATTGTGTACATATACCAACAGTGTCAAACACAGAGGGTCCACACTTTCATTGTGTACATATACCAACAGTGTCAAGCATAGAGGGTCCACACTTTCATTGTGTACATATACCAACAGTACCAACAGTGTCAAATACCAACAGTGTCAGGAGGGTCCACACTTTCATTGTGTACATATACCAACAGTGTCAAGCATATGTAGGTCCACACTTTCATTGTGTACATATACCAACAGTGTCAAACACAGAGGGTCCACACTTTCATTGTGTACATATACCAACAGTGTCAAACACAGAGGGTCCACACTTTCATTGTGTACATATACCAACAGTGTCAAACACAGAGGGTCCACACTTTCATTGTGTACATATACCAACAGTGTCAAACACAGAGGGTCCACACTTTCATTGTGTACATATACCAACAGTGTCAAACACAGAGGGTCCACACTTTCATTGTGTACATATACCAACAGTGTCAAACACAGAGGGTCCACACTTTCATTGTGTACATATACCAACAGTGTCAAACACAGAGGGTCCACACTTTCATTGTGTACATATACCAACAGTGTCAAACACAGAGGGTCCACACTTTCATTGTGTACATATACCAACAGTGTCAAACACAGTGTCCACACTTTCATTGTGTACATATACCAACAGTGTCAAACACAGAGGGTCCACACATTTTCATTATACCAACAGTGTCATACAGAGGGTCCACACTTTCATTGTGTAACCAACAGTGTCAGGGTCCACACTTTCATTGTGTACATATACCAACAGTGTCAAACATATGTGGGTCCACACTTTCATTGTGTACATATACCAACAGTGTCAAGCATATGTGGGTCCACACTTTCATTGTGTACATATACCAACAGTGTCAAGCATATGTAGGTCCACACTTTCATTGTGTACATATACCAACAGTGTCAAACATAGTGTCAGTAGGTCCACACACTTTCATTGTGTACAGTGTCAAATACCAACCACACTTTCATTGTGTACATATACCAACAGTGTCCACACTTTCATTGTGTACATATAACCAAACAGTCCACACTTTCATTGTGTACAATACCAACAGTGGTCCACACACTTTCATTGTGTACATATACCAACAGTGTCAATACACAGTGTCAGTCCACACTTTCATTGTGTGTGTCCATATACATATACCAACAGTGTCAAGTGGGTCATTTCATTGTGTACATATACCAACAGTCCACACTTTCATTGTGTACATATACCAACAGTGTCAAACACATCCACACTTTCATTGTGTACATATACCAACAGGTCCACACTTTCATTGTGTACATATACCAACAGTGTCAAGCATATGTGGGGTCCACACTTTCATTGTGTACATATACCAACAGTGTCAAGCATATGTGGGTCCATTTCATTGTGTACATACACTACCCAACAGTGTCAAACACAGAGGGTCCACACTTTCATTGTGTACATATACCAACAGTGTCAAACCACATGTGGTCCACACTTTCATTGTGTACATATACCAACAGTGTCAAACACAGAGGGTCCACACTTTCATTGTGTACATATACCAACAGTGTCAAGCACATGTGGGTCCACACTTTCATTGTGTACATATACCAACAGTGTCAAGCATATGTGGGTCCACACTTTCATTGTGTACATATACCAACAGTGTCAAGCATATGTAGGTCCACACTTTCATTGTGTACATATACCAACAGTGTCAAGCATATGTGGGTCCACACTTTCATTGTGTACATATACCAACAGTGTCAAAGCATATGTGGGTCCACACTTTCATTGTGTACATATACCAACAGTGTCAAGCATATGTAGGTCCATGTATACAAGTATTGGCAGGCACAGTCGAGTCCAGGCTTGTTTTTCCTCATGATATTGCTGTGATATTGTGAAAAGAAATAGTTTAAAACCAGCTCACTCACTCACCAGTACATTGCATCTTAAAGAGCACCAGTCATGCACCTCTAAGTATTCATGGTAAGTGCTGGGTGCCAAGTGCTATGACACTCACTCACTCACTCACTCACTCACTCACTCATTGTGTCTTTAAGGGTTATTCTCATGCACCTCCAAGTGTCCATGTAAGGCCGGTGTGCCAGGTACTGTGACACACTGACTAATTCTCTGATACTGCCTGCTTGTATCGATCCGTCACACACAGATGAAAATATTGAGGTTTGCAGCAGTCAGTTAAGGCTCTTTAAGTGGTTAAACTCCAAGTGTGCCTTGAATTAACAAAGAGCAGAAAATTCAATTTCTGGAGATTGTCCCCTCGTCGTAGCATCTATCTTGAAGTGGTGGCAGGAGTAATCAGCCGAGATCGGGTTGCCTGGTTACCTCTATATTCCTGCTAATCTTTCGGATCCATTGTTAACTCCTTTGTAGAGTGTGTGACCCATGTTTGACATTTTTTGGGCGACTGCATGAAAATTTCAAAAGGTTAACTGGGATGTTCTTTGAATATTGGGTTATCAAGGTCAGGGTCAATAAACTACTTCCTGATTAATAACTGCCTGCAGTTTTATTTCAAGGGAGGATGATGTGTCTCCTTGGACAAATTTCAAGATCATCATCGCTGAAATAAAATTTTAATGCTTTCTAGGATGAGGGAAAAGAAAGCTTTCAAAGAACCATTGTATGTTATGATAGTGAATCAGAATTATGTTGATAAATGAAGTGAACAGAAAGTGATCGAGGTCATTATGATTAAAGTCGTGCAGCTTTTGATGATGATAATATTTGAGCGACCAGTTTTTGTTCTGGAGGGGCACTGGGATTTTAATGGAAACTTGATATTTTTCAGCAATAACTGAAAAAAAAAATGTTTCAATAAAACTTTGAGGCTGAATATATACTCTATAAATATATCTTGTGACTATGTATTTTTGATGGCTTCTTTTCCTTACTGTGTAAATCTTGCAACAAAACATGCACGCATGCGCGTGCACACACAGGCTGGTGGTCCAAATGGTTGGTCCCCGAGATGTACAATAGATAAAAGGATGACGATGAGGATGTAAGTTACCAGAGTAAGATGACAGTTGCCCTAGATAATATTTCCTTTAAAAAGTCAACAATTAACAATTGTAATAATCATTCTAAAAATTGTAGTGACAGTAATGGAGCATTTAAGGCTCTAATCAGAGGCATTTGTGGTTTAAAATAAAACAGTTGTTTGATTTTTACTTATAGGTTAACATATTAAATGAACATGTTTGATAGAAAAATTATCTTCATAGAATGGACCCGTGAAGGTCCGGGTTAGAATATTGATCTTCAGTAATCCATGCTTGTCGTAAGAGGCAACTAACGGGATCGGGTGCTCAGGCTCACTGACTTGGTTGACACATGTCATCGGTTCCCAATTACGCAGATCGATGCTCATGCTGTTGATCGCTGGATTGTCTGGTCCAGACACAATTATTTACAGACTGCTGCCAAATAGCTGGAATATTGCTGAGTGTGGCATAAAACTAAACTCACTTACTCACTCTTCATAGAATATTTTGTACATGAGCTCAGAAACTGCAGTAATCTTGATTTGCCAGCTATTGTAAACTTGCATGTGATGTATTGGATATATTCGATTCTTCTTTATTAGACACAATATGATAGTGATTGCTGTGAATAATACAGGCCAATGTTATAAATATCAGAGGGACACACAATTTCACTGCAGTTAAATGAAACATTCTTTTTTAACATTTTGGGTAAAATTACCACCTCGTTGTTGATACCAACATTGATTGTTATGATATGCTTATGTATGAAACATACCATTTTGATACTGATTTTAAGGGTCAGGTTATGGGGTCGGCTTATTTACGAAACATACCAATTTGATACTGATTTTAAGGGTCAGGTTAGGGGGTCGGCTTATGTATAAAACATACCACTTTGATACTGATTTTAAAGGTCAGGTTAGGGGGTCGGCTTATGTACGAAACATACCATTTTGATACTGATTTTAAGGGTCAGGTTAGGGGGTCGGCTTATGTATAAAACATACCATTTTGATACTGATTTTAAGGGTCAGGTTAGGGGGTCGGCTTATGTATAAAACATACCATTTTGATACTGATTTTAAGGGTCATGTTAGGGGGTCGGCTTATGCATGAAGCATGCCATTTTGATACTGATTTTAAAGGTCAGGTTAGGGGGTCGGCTTATCAATGCGATAGGCTTATCTACAGTTATATATGGTAATCTAAAAGTACTTATTTTTTGCTGTTGCTTTACAAAAGTGACAAAAACGACACAACAAAGACAAATGAAATAACATTTTTACTGCAAAATATTGTCTGTTTTACAATTAGGTGAAATGAAATACATGTGAGATTTCATCTCTGTTGTTCATAAGAGATGTTAAATCAAAAATTTATTGTACCCAAAATAACAATATATCAGCTATCGTTCAGTATCGTTTTGCAGTCTATGATGTTTTGACCTATAACTTGGAACAGTTTAATCAGGAAGTTGAAATTATAGAATAGAAATTCAACCTCCTATG